GTAAAAAGCCCCCTATGCAGTGGGATTTGGATTTGTGCCCATGCTGGGCTGGTGGGCTCTGACTTGTACTCTGCAGTCCTCTGCTGTCTCTGTGATGTTCCGGGGGCATCCAGCATCCCTTTTAGGGTGGCTAGGTCAGCAGCTGGAATCGCGTCTCCACAGTAGTGACACTGGGTGCTGGGATGAATGCTGGAGAGCCCTCAGCACCTGCAGTGGGAAGCTTACTGTACTAGGAGCAGCTCCTCTGACCCGTTTTACCTCTGCCCCAGTGATTCTGGCAGAGGTTGAAGGAAAACATCTCAGGAGAGGTAACAGGAGGGAGACCCAAATTTGGCTGGAGAAGACGTCTCCATGAGCACCTTGTGTGGAGGTGGAAGACATGGAACAGGAATAAGAGATGAGGTGCCATGACCCCGAACCTGGATGAGCCTGGGAGGCCTGTAGCAAGGAAGCTGAGAGCTGTGGTCAAAAGACAAGATTGAGAGGCTTAACCTGGCAGTTAGGGCTCCCAAATGTTAACCTAAAGAGGAAGTGAAGGGCATTTTTCTCCCCACTAACCCAGCTTTCTGGACAGAGCACTAACCTACCTGGTGGTTGTGACCTTCCAGCGCAGGCCCGGGCCTGGGCACTGGCTTTCTCCTGGTGGCTGTGGTTTGGCATTAGGGTAACTTTCTCGCTGCCCCTGAGCAAAGGCATTCCCAAGAGCTACAAATGCCTGAGAGTGGCTGGAGAGTGGGCTATGTCTTTCTCTTTGCCAAGGTGAATGAGACTTCAGGGACCTGATTCTGTAAGAGCAAGCAAGAGCCAGCCCCAGGGAGATCAGGGTTATATAGATGAACCCAGCTGTGCTGGCCTCTGGGGGTACCTGGTGTCAGAGCCCCTCTGGCTGTGTTTCAGCATCCTTTATTCTAAGATTACTGGGAGTAGCACCCCTGGAGGTTACAGCAGCTAATGTCCAGACAACTCCTTTCCCAATCTCTTGCAGACTCATTGCTTAGACAAGCACACCCCAGACTTAGAATAAAAGCTAATGAAGCAGAGAATGCAGGATTTGTGGATAACAGCCTGTCACTGCTAACTGTGACAGTTCCAATGAGACCAAGCATCAGGTACTGTTGAAAATGGCCACCTGTGTCCCACAGTGTGACAGCATTTAATGTTCAGTGATGGGCTGAGGTGTCCTCACCAGACAGATCCACACAGAGACGTCAGAGACTCTGATTCCAGCTCTCCTGGAAATTTCACATGCTGCCCCAGCTTGTCACACATTCTTTTTTGCTGCTTAAATTGGCAAGACTGTTTCTATTGCCTGTGACCAAGAACCCAAGCGGCTTGCTGCACTGGCTGCAGGGAAGCATGTGTTTAGGAAAATGAGATAGGCTTGCTGGCTGTTTGGGTCCGAAGGCATGGTGACAATCCAGTTGGGGTGAGAAGTCTGAGGAGGATGAAATATCCAGCAGGCGCTCCAGCTCAGGCTCAGGTGTGTCAAAGCTTTCATGAAGTCTTGAGGGATGAGCAGGCCCCTGGAAGCCTTGGCTTCAGTGGTCAAACTAGGACAGAACCCTGCTCTGGTTTTGAAGATGGCATGTGCCACTCTTATTACAGCTTCTTCCGTGCTAACTCGAAAGGCTAACAGCTCTGTGTGACACTCAGCAAGGGGAGACGCATATTGGGACAGGATAGAGTTGTTCAGGAGCTTTGCTGTTTGGCTCCCGTGTCCCAGCAGGCCCACGTGTCTGTAGGAAGTTGGGACGCCGATGGAAATCCCTGCAAGCCCTACTAGGAGAATCTCGGTGGAGGACCAATGGTTTTGGGACAAAGCCAAGCTGCCTTCGGCAAAGAACTGTTTTTGGAAAATGGTGCTTGGCTTGCTATTTGCTTATGGTGGAAAGATGAATACAGCCTAGGTGAACCTAGGATTAGCTGATGTTCCCAGCTGTCTTTAGATGCAACCAGAGATTTGACAGCTGAAGTCCTACATAATGTAATATTACAAAAGCAGCTCTATGAGCACATGTACATCGTATGAGGACTTGTCCAACACAGTGAGCCTGTCACATTGTACACTGTCCCTCACTTCTCCTCGTGACTCACTGACGAAGATCCGAAGACTGTGTATCCTTCTAGACAACATGGGAGTATCCGCTGTACAGAGACTGCTTGGCATCTCTAGGTCTGCTTAAGATAAACTCTTAGAGACCAGGGGGAGTTGATGGGGGGACATCTTCCTAAAGGGCAGGGCACTGGGCAACTCATTTTATCTGTCTGGGAGAACTTGTGGTCTAAAATGAATATCTATGTACATGTGTGGTCGGAGATAAAGATGTGACCAGTTGGACATGGATTTGGAGGGAGTAAGATTCTGTGATTAGTGACAGAATCTATAGATGGAGATCTTAGAATGAAGACCCAAAGCCCAAAGGCCCAGCTCTGGGGGAGGTGCTGACTTAGCTGAACAAGGTGACCTAAAGTAGTTCTTGGATGAAGGGCTATGGGGACAAGGATTAAGGTCCCATGTAGGATCTGTGACTTGAACGTCTTACAAAGGCTGAGCGGACAACTACTGAGAGACACCTTGAAGGCACAGTGGTCCTAGAAAGAGCACCTTCCCCCTAGCAGGCCAGCCAGCTGCCTGATGGTGGGTTCCCTTTCTGGACTGTTACGTAATGAGAGGGGATTTGTCACTTGCCATTTCTGCAACAGCTTCTTGCTTGAGTTTATGCCTTCCCTTCTTAACAGACTTTTTTGAAGGTCCTGAACTCTCCAGGAGAGTCAGACAGTGTTCAAGTACACTGTCCCCTACATAGGACCATGTCTGACAGAGGACTTCCTTTCTCTGTGCAGGTGAATCCACGCAACTCTCTTCTGGAAGCAGCTGGCTTGACAGTTGTGACGCCTCCACCATGGTGCTGCCCTGCTCCTCTTCTCAGGGAGCCTGGACAACTGCCCTAGAGTGTGTGCCAAGGGTGTCCAGCCTGCGCCTGCTGCCGCAGTGTTTCCTCCCAGCCAGACTGCTTGGGTTCAGACACTCACAATGGAAACACGTAGGACACCTCCCACTGCCACCACAGGGGCTCTGCTTGTTAACTTGATTCCTGTTCCTGGGTTCTGCCAGCCCAGAGGCCTAGTGATTTAAAGAAGAATGTGTCTACTTTGGATCATAACCATTTCACTGAAGCAGACATGGAGACAGCCTCTGCTCAGCTTCTTCTATGACTCTGAACAGTGAAGAGGGCTCAAAGTGTCAGGTTTGGTCATGTCAGTCAAGAAGATGCTGGGTAACAGAGGCAGAGGAAGTAGAGGCAAGGAATCCCTGGAAAATGTCCCAGTGTACGGAGCAGGTCAGCAGCAGTGCCTTCCAAGGTGTCTGTCTGGGATGAGGGTTTGGACCATTCCATCAGCTAACTGGAATTTTAGATGTGAAAAGAACCAACCGTGGCCTCATGGTGGTTATAATTAAAGGGTTTTCACGCTCTACATTTGTCTTCCTTCTAATCCGTGTTTATCTCAATAAAGGGTAAGGGTGGAGGGATCTGTATAAGGGTCCACGGGGCAGGGCTAAGAGCAAGACAGACATTGCCCGCTTCTGAACCAGGGCAGAGAGAGTGAAGTCGGGTGTTCTCCTTGGCAGGGACCAGGGATGGCTGTGTTGGGGTAAGAGTTACACCACACTTTCTGGATGTATCGGAAGAATTGATAGTAATCTTCAGGGGACTGAAGTGAATATTGAGTTTCTTTGTTTTTCACTGGAGATCTAAATATTTGAAGGCTTCCATCTCCCTTGAGCATGAGTCTTGGTAAGAGTCCATGTCTTTAAAGTCAGCTTTGCTGGCTGGTCTTATAACTCGAGTTGGGGTTGGTGGGTGTGTGTGTCTTCAAGTGTTCTGAGCCAGGAACTCTCTGGGTATTTTGGCTGGGCTTTGTTCTCTGCCTTGAGTGATTATGTGGCCTACTGGTGCTTACACTCCCTTACTGCTTACATTGCAGGCTGTGTGTTTGACTCGTCCACTAGGTGAAAGCACTAAAGGTGCACTGGGTATATATTTGGTTCCCCTGATTAAGCCACTGTCTCATTCCTTGGATGTGCAGAACTTCTAGCCTCTTCCCCAGGCCAATGTTCTCACCTTATAACCTTGATACTTACGGATGGGTGGCACCATGGAGCTGTGGTTAAATTTGTTCACAAACTGTTCGTGGGTACACGATCTAGCTGTCTCCATGCCACGGACAATGTCCTCCCTCCTCACTGGCACCTGGCTGTGCTCTGGAACCGCCACCAGGCTCAGTACCATGTTATTCTACAGAAAACCTGCCACAAATTCCATGAAGCCCCTGCTGCTCTTGTCCCTGACCCATCTGGGCCTGGTACCTTGCCAGGAAGAGAGAGGAGGAGTCCGGTCTGGTCCTATTCTTTGCCTTGCAGACCTCTATCGAGGGCTCCTGGGGGCTGTGGCAGCATGGGCAGGAGGAACCGAGTACCACTGTCCTTATTTCCATGGACACCAGCTTTGCCCTGCGGTAGGTACTTTGCTTGTTTCCCTGTCACTGATGTCACCGATGACCTCACATTTCCTGATTGAGCTTGACAGCCACCATGTGGATCTGATACACCAGATTCAGATTGGATAAAGGCTGGAGAGAAAAATCAAAGAAGACCATACTTTTCAGAGCCCCAGGCGTGGAGAGTCATATATAAATTCTCTATCTGCTGTGTGTCTCATGTCTCCTCTAGGTCACTGCAAAAGCTTCCCAATTGCTCTCTGGGCTTCCATTCCTGTTCCCTTCCTATCCATTCTCCATATTTCAAGTGTAATTGCTCTGAGCACACACCAGTATGGTTTTCTCTGACAGCCCACAGCTCCTAGTAGAAATTCAGATGTTCTGTTCAGTAGAGCCCTGGTTGTCTCTGTGCTTCCAGAAATAGCTGTCTCACACTTTCATGCTTTCTTGGGCTATTTCCTGTGCCTAGAACTCCAGGGTGTCAAGGAGGCAGACAGCAGAGAGCTCGGCACGTGCTGGGCACAGTGTGGGCAACTTGATCCCCTCCTGCAGGATGCGCAGTGGATCCTGCGGAGTGGCAGCTGTCCTATGGAGAAGATGCTGCAGAAGAAGGTGCTGGATAATGTCAGAGCTAGATATTGACAGCTGGCCAGGCGTGGCTCCCCAGGTGACAACATGGACATAGAGAAGCAGGGAGATGTGAAATTGGATGACTTCCCCAGCTACAAGGTATCGCCGTGTGCATGTGGTCAGAGCATAGAATGTGCATAAGGGCTGTGTTAGTATCCTGTTGTTGCAACAAATTGCTACAGACTTGGTGGCTTTAAACCACCAGACTATGGCTTTCTGGCTTTGGAGGTTGGAAGTCTGCTGTGGGTCTCGATGGGATTAAAACGAAGGTGTTGACAGGGCTCTTTCCTGCATGGAGCCCCTAAGGGAGAATCAGTCTCCTTAACTTCTCCTGTGTCTAGAGAAGTACACCTCAGCTCCTCCCTCCCCAGAGCGGACGCTGGCACCTCCAATCTTTTCCACATCACTCCTGGTGCTTCCCCTGGTGTTCTGTTCTCACTCTCATTTCCCTCCCTCTCTTGGAAGGACTCTGGGATTCCACCTGGTTCGCCTGAACAATCAGAATGACCCTCCTATCCAAGGTCCTCGGTCACATCTGTGAAGCCTCTTTTACCAGGTGAGTTAACGCGATCCCAGGCAGCAGGGATTCGGGTGTGACTGTCTCTGGGAGGGCTGTTGTCTTATCAGCTGCAGGGGGAAGGGTGGCAGGGACCTCATGGTTATGGGAGCAGGTGTAGGTTGAAGCTCTGGGAAAAAGGAGACTTGGATGGCCTTGACTTAGGGGAACAGGCACCCAGGTCCTCCCTAGACCTTCTCTGCCGGTCAAACTCAGTGTGGAGGACACACCAGGAAGAGCTTGCAAAGTGGACTGAGGTGGGGTGAGCCTGGCTTGCAGGCAGGGTTGGGGGGCAGCCTGGGCTGAGCCCAGACCATCCCTCCCCAGGGGATGAGCTAGGAGGATGGTGGCAGGAAGACGGCAGCAGACCCCCCTCTCTACTCAGTGAGGGTTAAGACGAGTCTATTACTGTTTCCTCGTCACTCTGTCACCCATCTAATGGCCGTCAATAGTACTTGAATGAGAATTGATGGGGAGATGGATTTAATTAACCCCAGTGTCAGCAGAGGCCCGGCTACCAGTTTGTGTGTTAATAGAGAGGCTGCTGAGCCTCTCTGGGGCTTTGCTGAGAGCCCGAGGCCAGTGGAGCAATTCTGTTCATCGAGGAGGCTGCGAGGCAGAGGGAGGCAGGGCAGTGCCTCACCCAGACCTGTGCTTTCTTCACTTGAGACCTAGCAGCCACCTTGTTGGTCGTGACCAGCCATCAGGCCCTGCTCTCTTGTCAGGAGGTCTGGGCAGGGCCAAGATGAGGGCTCAGCCTGGGTCTGAGGTCCCAAGTGCAGCTCTGGCCAGTGCCCACACAGTCGCTGTTCAGCAAGCCTGGCCCTTCCTGCTCCTCGTGTTTTCCTTGTCCTGCCCACCAGCTACCCTCTCACCCTGCCCATCCGCCAGTCTCCACCTTACCTTTGCCCTATTTCCTGCTGCATACCCCTTAGGTGCCAGCCTCACCCCTCAGCCACATTCAGCTCTGAGCTCCCCTGGAAGCTTCTTGCTTAAGCCTAGAAACGTGTGCTTGGTTGGCGTTAGGACCCTGGCTCTGGACCCGGTACCTCCCACAGGACATGTCTGTCCACTCCAGCTGTGGCAGGGAAAGGGCCGTGGAGGGAGAATCCATGTCTCAGACCATTCCTCGCGAGGAAATGTTGTTCTCCAAAAGGAGACATCTGGGTCAGCTTTGGTGAGTGCTTTGATAAGAACCGACAAATGGAGCTGGGAATGGTGGCACACACATGGAATCCCAGCATCTGGCAGGCTGAGGCAGGAGGACTGCAGGGAGCTCAAAGCCAGCTTGGAACTACATAGTGAGAGCCTGTGTCAAGAACAAAAAATCTCCCCCCACCAAAAACAAAGAGAGAGAGAGAGAGACAGAGAGGAAAAATGCTCCTGCCTCACGTATCTCCTTCTTACACTCTCGCCTGGGGCTTGCTCTAGGCCGAGAGAGGCAGGCCTTGGCACCCAGTGCCACCCACTTCCCAGAGACGCTGCATCGGGGTGCACAGGGGCTGGAGGCAGATGTGCGGCAGCCCTCTGTCAGCGCCCGGAGCCCGTCTGGCAGTCTCCATCCCTGCTTCACACCTTTGCTGTCTCTCATTTTCAGCTCTGATTGGTTTTCTTGTCTTAACACATACCCCAGGCCCGTGTTGACCCCAGTGATGGATTCAGCCTCTCCTTGGGACTCCAGCTGCCAAGCTCACCCAGAGCTTCTGGGCGTGGGGGAGGGGGCCCAGTGGTGGAAATTACCCTGTGTGTTCGGGGCTGGAGGGTGGGGGATGCCCTTCCAGATCCTGGAGGCAGCTCATGGACAGCAGGCCTTGTCACACTGGGGACTGTCAGGATCTGTCACAGAAAATAGGTTCCACTCTGAGCAAGAAGATGTCATGGCTGTGGATTGCTCCTCTCTAAGGGATGGAGAGTCTGAGTCCTGAGACAAATGAGACATTGATTTCCCTTCATTACTACGATGTGCCTGCTGCTGGCCAGGCCTCCAGAAAATGACCCACACCTAGCACACAGTTCCCTTGCTCTGCCAGCTCTGGAGGGGGACCAGAGGGAGGGTGCAGACTGACCAGAGCTCCTTCCACTGCACGGTGGGAGTTGTCATAGGTAAGGTCCTTCCCGGACCTGCAGCCTCAGGGACTAGCATGGAGTTCTTGTTCCCAGGACTCGATAGGTGATAAGAATGAGCATGGTTGTACCCGAGATGAGGGAGGTGGAGCCTCCCAGGTCCTCGGATGCTTGCTATGTCCAGTGTCTGGAAGCATCACGTGTCTGGCTGAGTTGTCACTCTTCAGGCAGGGGTGTGAGATGCTGTCTTTGAGCCAAGGACAAGAAGGTTTGTGAGACCAGGAGGTGAAGCTTTGAGGGTTTATGCTCTCTCTTCCCTCCTGTTACTTTGCAGTTAATTCTGTCTTAAGTTTTAAAATGTGTGACAAATGCTGTAAGAAACGAAACAGTCTAATAATAAAGGGAGTGGTCGTTAAATACCGCACTCTCTTAAATACGCACACTTTGTCTCACACCACCATGTGTCTGTTAGGGACTGAATTTGTGTGTTGAAGGCCAGATTCCCATTGTGGAGACAGAACCTTAGAGGAAGAAATTAAGGTTAAATGTGATCTGAAAGGTGGGGTCCTGAACTGATAGGATTGGTGTTTTTACCAAAAAGGACACCAGAGAGCTCACTCTTCTGCGCACACACTGAGGAAAAGCCAGGGGTGGCCACGGGGGAGGGCAGCCGGGTGCACGCTGTGAAGCAGATCCTCGCAGGAAGCAGAGGCCGCTGCCCTTGACCTTACATTTCCCAGCCTGCAGCACTGTGAGAAATCCATTCTTTAAGTCACCTCATCTGCAGTGTGTTTCCGAGGCGGTCTGAAGTTAACATTTGTGTGGGTATGTACAGACGAACAAACTGCTGGGCCACGCATCGCCCTGTAACTTTTGTCAAGGCAATGGGAAATTTTGAGGACTTCACATATCTCGATGTTTATTTGTCAGTTTTTATTCTTATTAGTAAATGTTTGCAGTATATAATGATTGCACGCCCTGTGGGGGATCCATACCCATAAATAACACATCCCAAGTGTTCCTTTTTTTCTCCTCCTCTCTGCCTTGCTTTCTCCTCCCTTTGTCTCTTGGTCCCCCTCATTTACGAAGGACCTATCTGCCTATATACACACTTATCTTTTAGTTTGCTCTTTGTTTCTATTTTGGGTCTCTCATATAAAAGAAGCTTCTGTGTCTGATTTATCTCACCTACCACTGCAGCCCAGGAAGCATTTATCTTCCTACAAATGTCCCACGTTCATCCTCTGACGTTGGATGTGCAGTGAAGAAGCTCCCATAGGTGTTGATGCACATCTCAGCCATGGTGTATTTCCTGTACCTGCGCATTTCCATCCCCTCAACCGCATCCTTCAGGCTGTGCAGCTGTGGGGGTGACCCCATGGTTGGAGGGCAGGAGCCCGAGTTGTCCTAACTCTGCCATAGTCAGTATGGCCTTGGGCAAACAGCTGCCCTGCTCCGAGCTGTTTCCCCGTCCGTGAAGACCCTTCTGGGATTCAGTGATTCAGCATCTACAGGTGTGGCCCAGAGAAGTGTCTCCTACTGGTGTGCTGGGCTGGCCTTTTGGGGACAAAGACCTGCTACTGAAGACCATACAGAGGGGCTGCTGACAGAGCTCCCAGTGACTGAGGGGAGCAGCTGGCTTTCCTCACCTGTGTATACAGGACATGGATGCTCGTCCCCTGTTCTATTTGCCTGGAGCCTTTCACAGTCCTTTGTGTGGGATGAGCAGGGGCCTGGGACAGAGCAAGGAACTGGAAAATGTGGTGTCCTGGCTGTGCGACTTCTGGAAAGCCTCTGTGAGCCTCATTACATTCACCCTTAAGGTTAGAAGATTGGTAATGGATAACACACAAGGTGCTTATAAAAGGTGCTTTTTAGACATTGCCTTCTGACCTGAATCTTGGGCAGCAGTGTTGCAGTCCCAGGTAGGGTGGTTGGCATTGTCTCCTCTGTGCTATGGGTAGGGCATGTCCAACAGAAGCCAGGCCAATCCCTAGAGCCCTGAAGCACACTCAAACCACACTTGGGAAGGAGGGTGGCAGTGGGACTTCAGGCTGACATCTGTGTTCTGGAACCTTGATGTCTGACCCAGATCTACGTTCAAGTCAGTGGAAAGCTGAGAAGTTTGAGATGTGCTTTTCTGTGGCCCAGCCAGCAGGGACTCAAGGATGGGAAGGGTGGGGAGGCTCAGGAGTGGAACACTCGGGATCAAGCAGCTTTTAGACTCAGGGAAAGAGGCAGCACGTCTCAGGAGTGCCTGGAAATGGAGCAACAGGGTCTGCTTCTGAGCTGCGAGGAGCAACTGCTTGCTAAATCCTGAGCCTGGGGAGCCTCGGGCTTGGAAGGCACAGCTGGAACTCCTTGACCTGTCTCCCCTCCTCATCGGCCACTGAGCACTCTGGTCCCTCAGGCCCTCAACCTCAACAAAATGCACTTTTTTCTTTTAAGGCTTGACAGATCCTGTTGGGAGTTCTCAGAGTCAAGAGTAAATGGCTGAGATCACTAAAGAAATAGCAGCAATTTTTATTGTGGTAACGTATACATAAAAATTTCATTTCAACTGTCATTTCATGGACAGTTCTGCATGATTAAAGGTGATCACAATCTTATGAAGCCATAGAAGAAAAAGAAGAAGAAGAAGAGGAGAGGAGGAAGAGGAGGAGGAGATGGAGGAAGAAGAAAGAAGAGGAGGAGGAATAAGAAGGAAGAAGAAGAAGAAGAAGAAGAAGAAGAAGAAGAAGAAGAAGACCACCTTAGGAAGATGACAACCAGTAGCTAATGGCCCAGCTAAGGGCACTAGGGTAAGCTGTCTGTGGGCCACTGGGAGGGTGATTCAGAGCATAAAATTATTTTTCTCATGAAAAACTATCTGTACCTTCTGAATTTTAAACTCAACAAACATGAAAAATAATTTAACAAACCTGTTTGCCCAACCC